TTTGTTCATCATATTCATCTCATAGATTACCAGAGGATCAAATCACAGGTGCCAATATTGGTGTTGCTTTCTTCCTTAGTTATGGCTTTCTTTTTTAAATTTGAAGTATTCAGAGGCCTTGGTATCTTGCTTCGGCCAAAAACCGATTTGACGAAATCATTGCTAAAATTTTTGAAGGTTGAAATTAACAGTTTGGGTGGATTTCTTTTCTGCAGACTGAAGACCTAGGTTGAACATTGGGCTTTGGAAAATAACTTTTAATGCTCTGCAAAGTTTCTGGGTAATTCTATTGGGTTACACTAAAAGTTTTTCTTGATATTTCTCTTCTTTTATGTTTATCATGATTGTTTAAGTAATTTAATTGGTACTCATTTAGTTTGTGTTTTTGGAATTTAAGATGAAATTTCTTGTTTTTGAGGGTGAGGCTCAGTATCCTTATAGTATATTGAATTCCTATAATGTGAGGATGAAAATTAACAAATCGAAAAAGGTGGCTTTCACGTTCTATTTTAAAAGCCTCCCACTACGTAATGCCATTTGGGAAATTCCCGTAAGTCATAAAAAAATTTAGTCTTCTATATTTCTGAAGGCTAGATTTGAGAGTTGTTAAAGTTTTCACATTGGCTCTACTGCTCATCTTGCACTACTGGAATAGCAATGCTAACAAAGGTTAAAGCTGTTGATCCGTCATTACTGTTCGGGTTATGAAGTAATGGATAGAAAGCATGCACCTTTGTCGTGTAATGGATGTGCCACAAACTGGATTTATTGAGACTTTTATTATGTTTTTGAGAATATTTTTTTTTTATTAGCAATTTCTAAGGTATGCTTTGATGATCTTGGATGAATGAGTAAGTCGTTCTCTATGTGTTATGCAGGAGAAGCTCCACTTATTCCAGTTTGTTCCAAATGAAAAACAGGTATGATATAACAAGTGACAACCGTCTTCGCTAATGTTGTATTGCATTTCTCAAAATTTTATGCTCCTACAGGTCAGGGCAGCTAACAAACTTCTGAAGACAAATTGAAATTTCAGTTTTAAGATTTTTAGAGGACTTCAACATATCAAGTATGGAGGGAATTGATATAAGGTTATATTCATTCTTTTAATGTTTAATTCCCCATTTCAACTTTTAATGCAATTCAATTACAAATAATGCTAATATTTGATTTTAACCAAATGCATTAAATTTTCAATAGGACGGAACGATATGAGTTCATGATATGTTTTGCTGTCAAGTGTATCAAGGTCAATTGATGTTCTTGGATTGTTTTTATACTTTTTATTTAGCTACATTATAAGGATCTTCTCTATTATTTATTACTTTTTTTTTTTTGCATATTCCAGATAATATACTTTAAATTCCTGCATGTATTATTAGAGATGATAATCGTCTTTATTTTATGTTCTATACATTGAACCAATCCTCTCATATAAATACATAAAAAATATGTAAGTCGCGCGTAGCATGCTGTGATTAATGTTACGAATACGTGGCATCTCGACACCACAAATCATCTGGTTTTCCGCATAAGGACAAGGAGTTTTTAGTGTGATAATATTAGACAGACTAAATTTTTAAATTAAATTTACAAATAAAATGATATGTCATTAATAGGAAATAAACACGTTAATCAACATTTCAGTAATAGTCTAATCATCAACAACACGTCATGTAATTTAAAAATTTGGTCTACTTAGCATTACCTTTTTTAGTGACGGTGAAGAGGAGAACAACTTAAGGGCATTATTGTCATTTTGATGGCCCAATAATTTCACACGCATGAATGTGACTGCAAAGCCATAGGCCTGTTTTAATATTATCAAACATCTATAACAATATTTGAAGTTATATCAAACGTTTTTTCTTAGACGACATTATTGCATCTTTCTTCTTCATGATAATTTTCCATCACTTTCTTTCCACACCATCCCACTTAATCATCTTTCTCTGTATAACAAGTTTCAATGCTGAGAGTAAATTTGAAAAGAAAAAAAAAAACAACCATGTCTTTCAATTTTTAGATTTCTAACAATACCTTAATTTAATTTTTTTGTGTCGTGGTTTTTTGTAGATCAATACACAACAATTTAACTTTGATAAAACTCTTCATAACATCATTCGTTAGCAGAAAGTTTAGGACTCAAGTATTCTTCGATCTACATTCTGATTTGGATATAATTGCAAACATGAATGTACCACAATACATTGTATTTGTAAGGGTGAACAAACACTTTTTTTTGGTTCTTTCAATTTCTTTTTTCATTGCTCGACAAAATGTATTTAATTATGTTGTATACATTTTTAATGTAAAGGAAGAAACAAAAATTGATATTGTGATTTATTGTGAAATGGTAAAGTAAATTGTCTGCTTTTCATTTGTTCTGTCATCTTATCTATTATTTTCCTTCAACTGAAGAATATAATTTTAGGCATTAGAAGAAACAAGAGCAGCAATAGATTTCGGGACAAAAATCTCTAACATATCCGTCGATGCTCTCCCTCTTCATTGTAAAGAAGTGGTCAATTGCATTTTCTTCTACCATTTGATTTCCATTGAAGCTTACAATTTATCACTTTGAATCAATCGTATAATGTTAATTGTCTTAATTCCATTTTAAATACAAAGATTGATAACTTCTTCGCCATACAACAACTCCTGTCTAGCATGAGGAGAGGTACAAACCTAAATTACATCACAATGTGGATAGAGTGACCATAATTGGCTAAAGCATCAGCGAAAAAATTAGCCTCCCAAACAAGACTAAAACAATAAACTCAAAGGAAGAACCTAAATACAATATATCTTGAGCACAAGTTTTAATTCTCCAAGATATTAGACTGTGGCCCAAAATGCAATCATGGTTTGTCGTTGCAGTGTAATTTCTTTTTGTATTCCTTGAAAAATATACCTTTTTTCAGGCAAATCACCCTATTATTTGATGATCATGTACTCTACACTCTTCTTTTTATTTTTGAAATTTTCTCTGATAAAAAATAAAAATTCGTAAACCGTTATTTGATATATTCAATAAATTCATTTTCTACTGCACCGTTTAATGTACATCGTATTAGATAAAATATTTACGTATTTATGAGATTCCATATATATTCGTTAAGAGAGATTATATTCACACACCCAATTTACTTCTCTCATACCCTTTTAATTTTTTAATATTTTCTACACACCACTAACGGTAACATCCCACATCAACCAACGGAGAGGAGGTGATGTGCTTTATATGTACATGCTCCCCTTCCTATAGCACAAAGTCTTTTGGGAACTTACTGGCTTCGGATTCCATGGGAACTCCGAAGTTAAGCGAGTTCGGGCAAGAGCAATCCCAGGATCGGTGACCCACTGGGAGGTTCTCGTGTGAATTCTCAGAAACAAAACCGTACGGGCGTGGCCGGAGTTCAAAGCGGACAATATCGTGCTACGCGGCGGAGCCGGTCTGGAAGGTGATACTAACACTTGATAAAAAAATATTAAAAAATTAAAAAATGTCGGAAAAGTAATTTAGGGTGTGAATATAATCTTCCATTCGTTAATCTCATTGCGGAAGATGCCAATTTTTTCTTTTTGCATACAAAGGTCCCATATTTACGACACATAAAATTTAGCTTTTTTTTTTTTATTATGAACGGTTTCTAATTTCCGCATTTGGATCAATTTGCCATAAAAATATTTCCGACAACAGTTGGCGGTTGTTGTCAATTATCAATTTCTATAATCCAATAACGCCAACATTAGGATTTTCGAAAGTGACAAATTGTCAATAACTGTCAACTATCGGAAAGAATTAAAAAATTTATCAAAATGTAAAAAATGGAAACCACTCTCGTTAGGACAAATCCAAATCTCTTATCTTTATAACACACTTTTGAAATATATGACAAACAATTGGAAGCGCGTGTAAAGCACAAGGTACAAATAATTTTAAGGTGTGCACTTCATTGACAGGTTTTCACATTTATTGTATTGCAATGTTACATATAGAGGTTTCCACATATATGTTACTTCCTGAATTTCACAAAGATTGACTGGTAGTGAAGGAGGTATACATAAAAAACTTTGTAATTTCAGTACTAGCCACTAAGGCACTTATGCTTATGTTTAGCGACACTTGAAAGTTTTGGGGTAAAAGAGTTTGATTTTTTGTGGAGAAAAACTACAACTTTATCCTGATTTATGAAGTATTGTAATGTAATTTCTCTTTGTATTACCTAAAAAATGTAACTTTTCTTAATTTGTATGCAAATCATCCAAAAACTACGATATATGTTACTTTTGAACCTCACGAACATCGACTGATAGTAAAGGATGTCAGCATAAAAAAAACCCTTGTAATTTCAGCATTAGTCACTTGGGCACTAATGCTACTGTGTTAGTGAGACCTAAAAGTTTAGGGTAAAAAAGTTAGTTTTTGTGTGGTGAAAAACTATGATTTTATCTTGGCTTATGAAGTAGTTTGTCCTTGTAATGTAATTTCCCTTTGTATTCTCTAAAAAATGTATATTTTTTATTTGTAGGCAAATCTTCCAAAATCTACAATTTGTGTTACTTTTGAAATCTCACGAAAATTGACTGTAGTAAAGGAGGTATACACTTTCTTACGAATTGTGACTCACCACTCACATTTCTTACGCCTTGCTAGATATGAACTTTTCTCCTTTCTCGTCACTCATTCAAGTTTCAATCGATCCAACACCATTTCACCCTGATGAAATGGTAGACTGAATAATGCCTTAGGATTTTTACTACGGTCAACACTTTCTTTCTCCGACTGGTGACGTTTGCTGAATAGCGACAGCCTGATTCAGTTTGGTTCACACTTGGAACACTACATCTTTCGGCCGCTTAAGACTGAACAGGTCAGCCTTGTTCATGCATCAGGTTATGGGAAAAGAAACAAGAAACAAGTCTCTTCAATCACTCCACTCTTTGGCAACAGAGAATCTCCATTCACCCAAAACTCGCAGGATGAGAGAGAGAGAGAGCTGAAGACCATAATTTGAATCATATTAGCCGATTAAGTTATAACACCACCTATTCATAGCTGGGGAGATGAGTGCAGCATCTAACAAAATTCACCCAGTCCCTACTAACTCAAAACTTTTTTCGTCAGTCCTAATGAGCATAAGATATTTACAAGAAAACCAAGCGCAACCGGTCGGTTTCTATAACGTAGATGCCTGTGACCTTTCATCAATTTCTAGATTTTCAGTGCCATTTACAAGTTCTTGCCGAACCACCAACTGTTCAGTTTCTAAAATCTAGATTTGCGCCTGTGCATTTTTGATCGCTTCCTCGATGTTTCAAAACCGTTGACACTTTCTTTTCGCCTTTTAATGGCGTTACCTAGGGAACCAGCTTGCAAGGCTTCAGCACTCATCCTATACCGGACAACATTTGTTACAATGGCATATGCAATGACCTTAGTTTTTGGGGTCAGCATCACATTTCTCTCAACAATTGCATTCTGCCCACAGCATGATTCTTGAATTGCTGTGTGTCTCAGCTTTTGCAATACTGCATCCTTATCAAGCGTAAGACAGTCTTCTGGAACCTGGACAATAATAAGTCACAGTAATGTCAGGCTTCCCTTAGAACACAGAAAGGCGATATCCTTGATTTCGAAAATCAAGGATATGTAATTTATAACCACTAACAGCATATAAGAGACAAGGTTCGAACTTCTAACCAACCTTAAAATTAAGAGGTACAACAATTTCTGTGGACGGACAACCACAACTATCTATGAAGTTGAATTTCAAAACCATATCAAATGATTTTCCCTGCAAGGTTCTCCTGATACATATCGAATACAAAAATGTGAGAATGTGACACTGTTAGATAACACATCATAAGCTATTAGCCTATTGGATCATCTGCATACATCAGAATGGAGTTGAAGTGCTAGAGGACAAGAAAGTGAGAGGAGTTATGATAATGTGAAGGAGAGATGAGAAAATATATGTAGAGAGGTTCATAAATAAAAAACTGAGTTGTTTGGTATCCTTCTTGAATGAAATTTTTTGTTTTTGAAACTAACCAGCATTAAGTAATTTACCTACCATTCAGAAACTTAGATCCAAGAACGATACCAAACAGGCCCCAAACAATTTAAGAAACTTTTGTTTTTAGCTTTCGTTCTATGTTTCCTTCCTTTCTTCCTCACCGCCCTCATCTCTCATCTCTCTCCTTTCTTGCATACCTCTGTCTAGACTCTAAAAAAACAATGGGTCCAGATGAACCAAAATATGGGAGTATCCATGCAGATTATACCATTAAGAAATACAAATAAAGCCACTAGTTTCCAATCAAAGGAATTTACAATAACAAATATCAAACTGCTGGAGAGAACCATACAAGTCTTGACTGATCATACTGTTTTCTCATTTTAAATAAAATCTATATTTTACTTAGTTTACAATCACTTTAAGTATTTATGACCTATCTTATTTGAAATTCAAAATTGAATAGAGGCAATTCAGTTTAGCATACCTTTTCAATTGAAATGGTTCCTTCTGTAGAATAGCTGATTTATACCCTTGATTGTCTAAGAAGGATATCTAGGATGCAAATATAACACGAGGGTGAGAACCAAATCCGGGAAAAGGAAATATAACAAGATAATTTGAAGGGGATGTCTTGTAGAGAAGGAATGTGCCCTAAGCTTCCCACACAAATTCACTAAGTTGATCAATCTCGAGATAACGCAATGTTCTTACGCTCGGTTGCTAAAATACAAGAATGGGAACTGTTAAAAGAGATTTCTTTGGAGCAAAGGTCAACTGCTTCAAAAATTAATCTACTATGGTTTGGGTGGCAGAGCAGAGCGGTAACTTTCAACACAAAAAAAAACTAAGCACCTAATGATCTAGTCAGTCGGTAAATGACAAGAATGCAAATATGCATCTATGAATATGGAAAAAGCTATATATAAAAAAACATATAACCATTTGTGAATAAGAGGATCATTTCTGAGGGGCAGCTGTAAACAAATTTCTTATCGCAGTGCTAGAATGAAAACGAAAGATAAACTATATCCAACAAGATGTAGTGATTTCTTGCTTACAGCGGGTTTCATAACTTCCCTACATTCACAAAGTCGATTGTATACAAAAAAAAATGTCAGGGTTCATCCTTACAGATATAAAAGAAAATGGTCAACTGTTTTATATTTACAGTTATTTGGTTCTATAGACGGGCCTGTAAAATACAAAAACTAAAGATGAAAAATTTAAGATGTGGTCTGTCAGTAAAATGATAAGGAAGCAAGTAGCAAGATCAACGAAACAAGTATCTTAAAGTAATTTCACCTCAATAGATTTGACAAATGGCAATGGAGCTTTCTGTCCATGTACACTTGCTACGCGGAGGCTCCAGTTCACATTCTTTTTATCTGTAAGCAAGTGAATGGACTATGTGAGAAAGATGAAACTAAAGTTTACTAATTTGAGGACAATTCATGGAACTACTGATACTTGTTAATCATGTCTGGGAACAAAAACAAGGAGTAATTAGAGAGAGTAGTCCATTACCATATATAGGGCATCACTAGTAATAGTACAAAGCATTTGCAAACGTTGATATGTAAACAATATTCAGCGCTAGACAACCACTATGGCACTACCCCAATAGATTAAGCCTTTAAGGGCCAGGGATGTGTATCCAGTTAACACATTCTGTGTGTGGATAGGTTAAGAAATGTAGAGAGATATTCATATAGGTGCAGCCCCATCCTCCACCATGCAAACCAACAATTAATTGGGGAATGGGTATGGAGGTTTCGAACCCATTGCCTCCCGCAAACCAAGGCTCGGATACTTTGTTAGACAACCACCGGACACCAAAAGCTTCAGTTTTTATTTAGGGAGTGGACCAAAAATGTGTATGAAATTAACACTAAAATAGGCTCTGCAGAAGAGCGGTCACAGTCAAAGCTGGAAAAGATCGGGGAAAAAGAAGAAGAATGAGCTTCAGTGCTAGATCTAATAGCAAACCAAAGGACATAAATGGCATTCACATATAATAGAGTTGTAAATTTACTAGAAGCACACTGAAAGCATCTCCTGTACATCCAAAACAAGCATATACGTGTGACTCTCTGCACCTTGTACAAAATATTTAACACGGTAAACATGAAACCTTACCTAAACTCAAGGCTTGAGTTAGAATGATCTGAAAAAGATCTAACCGGACAAATGGAGGAATCTGAAGATTTAGAAAGTCCATGACACCTGAAATAACCTGTTGCCGAAATGAATAAATAATGATGTAGGAGACCGAATCTAAATGTTGAAATAAAATGAACAAATTGGAGCTCAGCATTCTGATTCACGCCCCTATTGATAAAGCCCAGATACGACCTGATGGGATGTGCAAATGTACAAAATGCGTAATGGGTAACAATAAGACTTCATCAACAGAGGTGACAAAAGCTTGTCTAATAAAAACTACATTGATATTATACATTTCAATACCTTATCAACAAGTCCATGGATCACTAAATTTGCTTTCTTGTCCTTTGGAGTTTTCTGCGAAGTAGAATAAAGCACGTAATAAATAACTGTTAATAAACTTGATGTGACATGTCCAATTTTTTGCAGCCCATAAACAACGGCCATAAACTAGAAGGTAATTACCTGAAGGTTGACAATTACAATCTTTCCCCCACCACGGAGCGATTTCAGAGGAAGGTTGCATGCTGGAGTGATCTGCAAACTGCAGAAATAACACCAATCAGGAAGAACTTCATGCCCTAAACTATTTATAGCCTGATTCATCCTTCCGTAGCCCTAGTTTCAGTAAAAAAGGGAGTGTGAAATTCATTTCAGAATTCGACTAAGGAATTTAACTTTAAACGTTATTATGCTACAACTAAGTAATTACTGTATATGGTCCATCAAAGCCACAAAGTAATAGTAACTACCACACAATATCCTTATATACAAAAGCTAAGCTACCGTTGTGACAGCTAAATTAGGTAACTCTGTTTTTACCTTGTCCCCAAACATAATACAACATCAGCCATCCTGCAGTGCTTCTCAGCCAGATCCATCTCCTTTGAGGGCAATGCATCCTGAACACATAGCAAAAGCAAGAGAGCATTTCTCAGAAACATCTTTTAAAAAAAAATGCATGAACAAGCCACGTCCCCAGAAGATTCTCCATATTTCTCATCCTATATAGCTGAAAGTGACATACAATTCAAATGCAATTATATATTTTACTTTTGACTCTTGGTCAAAGAGTTTCCATGCAGACAAAACAAGTGTGGTAAATGAAAATTTTCTTTTACGGGAAATACAAATTTTGTAGATGCACAGAACAGAGGTACATCAGGAGATGAAAGCCATCCTCTTAGGTAAACCCTACCACAAAATTATAATAAGCAAAAACACTAACTCCCAACGTATCAAGGTATACAATACTAGAATGAACATTCCTTAAATACTTACACGATGATACCCAAAAGAGGCAAACACTTATTTGAATTAAAAAACGATTAAATCAAAATTAAACTGACAGATTAATAAAATGAAGGCCAAGAAATTATTTCTTCACCATGGACATCCAAACAGAACATAAATTATTAGTAAGCAATACCTCCCAATCCAGAACTGTATCTTTAAGCCTTGCTCTACAATTTTTATCTGAGCACCGTCTTGAAGTCTCCTTCAGTCCAATAGTCTCAACCTCAAAATCCCTCAAATACCTTAACAAGTTTAAATCATGAAATTAAATTGATAAAAGAACGACGCAAGGAGCCAAACTATGAAGCAAACAAAATATTAACTTCTGTACACTAAACCTTTCCCGGCCCAATTCCCAAGAAAAAGAAAAATGATGAGGAAAGGCAACAATAACAGGATGATAAAAAGAGAAAGCCTTACTCGACTCCACAAGAAGGGCAGGTTTCCAGAAAGGAGTTACCATGTAACTCAGCAAGTTTCTCCCTCGGTATTCCAGATCGTAGATGAAGACCATCAACATTCTAGCATTCAAACATAAAAGGTAATAAACATGTAGAGAGACAAATGAGCTATTTAAGAATGAAAGACGAAAATAGTGCATAAATAGTAACAAGGTCAGACAGAAAAATAATACAAACAGTCAAACACAATGGAATTATTAATGTGTCCCTGGCCCAGCAGCAACAACAACAACAACAACAACAAAGCCTTTTCCCACTAAGTGGGGTAGGCTATATGAATCCTAGAACGCCATTGCGCTCGGTTTTGTGTCATGTCCTCCGTTAGATCCAAGTACTCAAGTCTTTTCTTAGGGTCTCTTCCAAAGTTTTCCTAGGTCTTCCTCTACCCCTTCGGCCTTGAACCTCTGTCCAGTAGTCACATTTTTCGAACCGGAGCGTCAGTAGGCCTTCTTTGCACATGTCCAAACCACCGGAACCGATTTTCTCTCATATTTCCTTCAATTTTGGCTACTCCTACTTTACCTCGGATATCCTCATTCCCAATCTTATCCTTTCTCGTGTGCCCATACATCCCACGAAGCATCCTCATCTCCGCTACACCCATTTTGTGTACGTGTTGATGCTTCACCGCCCAACATTCTGTGCCATACAACATCGCTGGCCTTATTGCCGTCCTATAAAATTTTCCCTTGAGCTTCAGTGGCCTACGACGGTCACACAACACGCCGGATGCACTCTTACACTTCATCCATCCAGCTTGTATTCTATGGTTGAGATCTCCATCTAATTCTCCGTTCTCTTGCAAGATAGATCCTAGGTAGCGAAAACGGTCACTTTTTGTGATCTTCGCTAGATTGCTCCGGTCATTAGTGTGGATAAGTATATAAATGGATAGAGATAGGAAAGCAAACACAAGATGTACGTGGTTCACCCAGATTGGCTACGTCCACGGAATAGAGGAGTTCTCATTAATTGTGAAGGGTTTACACAAGTACATAGGTTCAAGCTCTCCTTTAGTGAGTACAAGTGAATGATTTAGTACAAATGACATTAGGAAATATTGTGGGAGAATGATCTCGTAATCACGAAACTTCTAAGTACCGGAGTGTGGTATCGTCTTGACTTGCCTTATCTGTCTCATAGGTAGATGTGGCATCTTCTCTGGAAGTACTCTTCCTCCATCCAGGGGTGGTATCTGTTAACTGGTGGAGATGCACAAGGTAATGTATCAATTTCACTTGAAGCTTACTTGTAGTTTCAGGCTTGGTCAAGCGCGATACAAACCATGTAGTAGGAGTCCCCCAAGTCGCCGAGCTAGGGGATCTGCTGAAAGAGGTGACAGACAAGGTAAGCAATCAGAGCTCCGGCTGATTGTTCACATTCTCCCTATCTTGCAGGCAGCATGAAGGATAAAGAGAAGAAAAATGAGAAGAGATGATATGGGATACTTTTGCTTTTGAAGAAGTAACTTTCCACAGGCTTATTCTTGAACTGGGCTGGAGGGTTTTCTGGTTTCCTCCAGAGTATAAGGCCGACTGAAGAATTTGAGGGTCAAAACAAGTCCATCAAATCTAGAGTACGTTCGACCCTGCTGATATGGGATACTTTTGCTTTTGACAGAGTAGTGGATGTATCGGCACGTGTGCTGTTACGCTTGTCTCCACATGCTTCCTTGTATCCTTCTCACTTGCCCTATCTGTTCCTCAGGCAGATGCGGTATCTTCCCTGGAAGCATAAGATGTTGAAGATGAGTACTCGAGAGCAATGCCAGGTAAGTAATCAGGTAAGGGGTTCCAGGCAGTCAGTTCCTGGCTGGAAGCTTGATTCCAAGTGCTGACTGATTGCTCTCTTTCTCCTTGTCTTGCAGGTAAGAACAAGGCCAAAGGAAAAGACAGGGAAAAAGCATGATATGGGATACTCTTGCTTTTAACCCTGATGATATGAGATATTCTTGCTCTAGTATAGCTTGTTTACAGAGGTATTATCGGGGGGAAAGAAAGCTGAATATTTCGAAAGGCTTCGTTGGGAGTGCCCTCTCAGATATGAGGAAGGGTTGAGCATTTTTGCAGGTCTGCCTGTCCGTTGGGGATGGAGGTCGACATATATATAGGAGTCTCCCTAACATCAAGTAATAATGCTATTCCTTTACCCTGCTTGGTCATAGCACGGTAGTGGGAGCTGCCAGCTTCACATGTTTTAACTCTGTCAGAGCACTTTGAAAAAGTGGTCTGTGGTATCTGGAAAGCTGATGTTGCGTGTGAAGATTACAGACAAGCTTTATCCAAGGAGATCCAGCTCTTGAAGTTGGGAAAGTGGTGCCTCTTCGGTTTTCGAACAAGCAATCCTGTCGGGGATCTGGCTCTCGAGATTCGGAGAACGATGCCTCTTCGATTTTTGAGAAAGCAATCATGCTGGGGGTCTGGCTCTCGAGATTCGGAGAGCGGTGTCTCTTCGATTTTTGAGAAAGTAATCATGTTGGGAGTCTGGCTCTCGAGATTCGGAGGGCGGTGCCTCTTCGATTTTGGAGCAAGCAATCTTGTTGGGAGTGTTTTCTCGAATGTGAGTAAAGGTTGGGCATGTTTGCTAGTCTACCTTGCCACGAAGCACAGAGGTTGACACACAGGGACTTTCCAATTATCCAGCAGTGGTACTGTTCCTTTACCCTCTCTTCGATTTTTGAGAAAGTAATCATGTTGGGAGTCTGGCTCTCGAGATTCGGAGGGCGGTGCCTCTTCGATTTTGGAGCAAGCAATCTTGTTGGGAGTGTTTTCTCGAATGTGAGTAAAGGTTGGGCATGTTTGCTAGTCTACCTTGCCACGAAGCACAGAGGTTGACACACAGGGACTTTCCAATTATCCAGCAGTGGTACTGTTCCTTTACCCTCTCTTCGATTTTTGAGAAAGTAATCATGTTGGGAGTCTGGCTCTCGAGATTCGGAGGGCGGTGCCTCTTCGATTTTGGAGCAAGCAATCTTGTTGGGAGTGTTTTCTCGAATGTGAGTAAAGGTTGGGCATGTTTGCTAGTCTACCTTGCCACGAAGCACAGAGGTTGACACACAGGGACTTTCCAATTATCCAGCAGTGGTACTGTTCCTTTACCCTCTCTTCGATTTTTGAGAAAGTAATCATGTTGGGAGTCTGGCTCTCGAGATTCGGAGGGCGGTGCCTCTTCGATTTTGGAGCAAGCAATCTTGTTGGGAGTGTTTTCTCGAATGTGAGTAAAGGTTGGGCATGTTTGCTAGTCTACCTTGCCACGAAGCACAGAGGTTGACACACAGGGACTTTCCAATTATCCAGCAGTGGTACTGTTCCTTTACCCTTGTGGGTAATAATATGGTAGCTAGACCTTCAAAATTTATGTGTCTAAACTTTGTTAGTGTTGTTTCTTTGCTATTCTTTTACCCTTCTTGGTCAGAGCGATGTAGTGGGAGCTGCAAGCTTCACGTGTCTCAACTTTGTCAGAGAACTTTGGCAAAGTTATCTGTGGTACCCATGAGCTACTGTTGCGTGTGGGAAGTGGGTGATTGAACAGTAAGATTCATGTGCTTTCTACTTCGCCAGAAATCTTCGACAGAATGCCCATAATTTCCGCAAAGCTGAGTGTGCGTGTGACAGGTGCTGACAAGGCTGGAAAAGTAGGTGCCTCTTCGATTTCTGAGATCGGCCCTCGTGGTCTCTGAGCAGCCCAGCTTTTGAGAAAGCAAGCCTCTTCGATTTCTGAGATCGGCCTTCGTGGTCTTTGAGCAGCCCAGCTTTTGAGAAAGCAAACGCCTCTTCGATTTCTGAGATCGAACCCTCGTGGTCTCTGAGCAGCCCAGCTTTTGAGAAAGCAAACGCCTCTTCGATTTCTGAGCAGGCGCCTCTTCGATTTCTGAAGCTTCCGTCGAGTGCAGATTTTTATAGGGGCTGGCATTAAGTTCCAAAGCACACTTGAATCTCCACCAGTAGAAGCTCCATTCTTGCACTTCTAAGATCTTGATTTGTCCGACCTCTTCTCTCTTCAACACCTTTGAAAATGTCTGGCCCCTCCGACCGTCGTTTTGACTTGAACCTTGTTGAAGAGGCAGCCCCGCCTTCTCCAGACAACATATGGCGCCCATCCTTCGTCTCCCCTACTGGTCCTCTTACCGTTGGGGATTCCGTGATGAAGAATGATATGACCGCTGCGGTGGTGGCCAGGAACCTTCTCACTCCCAAAGATAACAGACTACTTTCCAAACGGTCTGATGAGTTGGCTGTTAAGGATTCTGGCTCTCAGTGTTCAGTGTGCAGGTTCTGTGTCTAATATGGCCCAACGCCTATTTGCTCGAACCCGCCAAGTTGAATCATTGGCGGCTGAAGTGATGAGTCTCAAACAGGAGATTAGAGGGCTCAAGCATGAGAATAAACAGTTGCACCGGCTCGCACATGACTATGCTACAAACATGAAGAGGAAGCTTGACCAGATGAAGGAATCTGATGGTCAGGTTTTACTTGATCATCAGAGATTTGTGGGTTTGTTCCAAAGGCATTTATTGCCTTCGTCTTCTGGGGCTGTACCGCGTAATGAAGCTCCAAATGATCAACCTCTGATGCCTCCTCCTTCTAGGGTTCTGTCCAGTACTGAGGCTCCGAATGATCCCCCTCCGGTGCCTTCTCTTTCTGGGGCTCTACCGACTGCTGAGACTTCTCCTAAGCAACCTTTGTGAAGGCTCCCTCTTGTTTGTTTATTTTGACTCATGTATATGTACATATTTGTAACTTATCGGGGATATCAATAAATAAGCTTTCCTTCATTTCAACGTATTGTGTTAAATACACCAAAGCCTTCTTCGCTAAGTTCTTTGAATTTTCTTTTGTTGAAGCTTGTATGTTGAAGCTTTGTGAGTGGAGCATGTAGGTTGAGGTAGTGTTCCCTTAATTTCCCGAGTGAGGAAAACTTCTCGGTTGGAGACTTGGAAAATCCAAGTCACTGAGTGGGATCGGCTATATGAATCTTAGAACGCCATTGTGTTCTGGATCCTGTGTCATGTCCTTCGTTAGATCCAAGTACTCTAAGTCTTTTCTTAGAGTCTCTTCCAAAGTTTTCCTAGGTCTTCCTCTACCCCTTCGGCCCTGAACCTCTGTCCCATAGTCGCATCTTCTAATCGGAGCGTCAGTAGGCCTTCTTTGCACATGTCCAAACCACCGTAACCGATTTTCTCTCATCTTTCCTTCAATTTCGGCTACTCCTACTTTACCCCGGATATCCTCATTCCTAATCTTATCCTTTCTCGTGTGCCCACACATCCAACGAAGCATCCTCATCTCCGCTACACCCATTTTGTGTACGTGTTGATGCTTCACCGCCCAACATTCTGTGCCATACAGCATCGCCGGCCTTATTGCCGTCCTATAAAATTTTCCCTTGAGCTTCAGTGGCATACGGCGGTCACACACAACACGCCGGATGCACTCTTCCACTTCATCCATCCAGCTTGTATTCTATGGTTGAGATCTCCATCTAATTCTCCGTTCTTTTGCAAGATAGATCCTAGGTAACGAAAACGGTCGCTCTTTGGTATTTCTTGATCTCCGATCCTCACCCCTAACTCGTTTTGGCCTCCATCCATTTGCACTGAACTTGCACTCCATATATTCTGTCTTTGATCGGCTTAGGCGAAGACCTTTAGATTCCAACACTTCTCTCCAAAGGTTAAGCTTTGCATTTACCCCTTCCTGAGTTTCATCTATCAACACTATATCGTCTGCGAAAAGCATACACCAAGGAATATCATCTTGAATATGTCCTGTTAACTCATCCATTACCAACGCAAAAAGGTAAGGACTTAAGGATGAGCCTTGATGTAATCCTACAGTTATGGGAAAGCTTTCGGTTTGTCCTTCATGAGTTCTTACGGCAGTCTTTGCTCCTTCATACATATCCTTTATAGCTTGGATATATGCTACTCGTACTCCTTTCTTCTCTAAAATCCTCCAAAGAATGTCTCTTGGGACCCTATCATACGCTTTTTCCAAATCTATAAAGACCATGTGTAAATCCTTTTTCCCATCTCTATATCTTTCCATCAATCTTCGTAAGAGATAGATTGCCTCCATGGTTGAGCGCCCTGGCATGAACCCGAATTGGTTGTCCGAAACCCGTGTCTCTTGCCTCAATCTATGCTCAATGACTCTCTCCCAGAGCTTCATTGTATGACTCATTAGCTTAATACCCCTATAGTTCATGCAATTTTGTACGTCGCCCTTATTCTTGTAGATAGGCACCAAAGTGCTCGTTCGCCACTCATTTGGCATCTTCTTCGTTTTCAAAATCCTATTGAAAAGGTCAGTGAGCCATGTTATACCTGTCTCTCCCAAAACTTTCCACACTTCGATTGGTATATCGTCTGGGCCTACTTGCTTTTCTATGCTTCATCTTCTTCAAAGCTACAACCACTTCTTCCTTCCGGATTCGACGATAAAAAGAGTAGTTTCTACACTCTTCTGAGTTACTCAACTCCCCTAAAGAAGCACTCCTTTCATGTCCTTCATTGAAAAGATTATGAAAATAACCTCTCCATCTGTCTTTAACCGCGTTCTCTGTAGCAAGAACCTTTCCATCCTCATCCTTGATGCACCTCACTTGGTTTAGGTCCCTTGTCTTCTTTTCCCTTGCTCTAGCTAGTTTATAGATATCCAACTCTCCTTCTTTGGTATCTAGTCGCTTATACATATCGTCATAAGCCGCTAACTTAGCTTCTCTCACAGCTTTCTTCGCCTCTTGCTTCGCTTTTCTATACCTTTCACCATTTTCATCGGTCCTATCCTTGTATAAGGCTTTACAACATTCCTTCTTAGCCTTCACCTTTGTTTGTACCTCCTCATTCCACCACCAAGATTCCTTTTGGTGTGGGGCAAAGCCCTTGGACTCTCCTAATACCTCTTTTGCTACTTTTCGGATACAACTAGCCATGGAATCCCACATTTGGTTAGCTTCCCCCTCTCTATCCAACTTTTTAATAGTAAAAAGACTATGCCCTTCCCCTAGTCCCAATAGGACACAGGAGAATGTAGCCTCAAAGACTTGAAGATGTTAGCATCCAAAGCATGACCAGATATTAAGCCACTTGAATAACTGATTTTAAAAAATTATCAATAATTTTCAATATAAAGAAATTCTGCAGGGTAGACCAAATAATGTATACCTGGCTAATTACAAACTTCAAAATTCCAGCTCTCTCCAGTTCAACCAAAGCTATATGAGTCAAGCTCGGCATTGCACGATGAAATGGCAGTGATGCTTCCGGCAAAGCCTTGCCTTCATGCTGCACTAGTAAACAGAAATCAGCAACATCCATAGTGCTCTGCAGATGCATGAGTGCTTCTATCTTTTGTAATTATTATTTTGGTATAATTATGATTGTTTCTCGTATGGCTAGGATAAGCCAAAAAGGTCGAAACAATGAGGACTCCTTTTTACTCAGTTTCTCATACAAATGTAACTAACGACTAGAAGAGAGAGAGAGAGAGTTAAAATGGACCCGAATTCCTTCCAAAAATAAAGTTCTTAAAGAGATCACTGGGTATTTGGAATCAGTTGCCCCTCTCTAAGTTACTTATTTCACTATGGTTGATGTAGCAGACATCTTTCCTTGTAAGTTTTATCTTATAAATCCAATTTGTGTTCAAATGACTCAAATAGTCAATTTTTAAGTAGTTAGTATCCGGTAGAAGAATTAATCCATGTTAGATGTGATTCTTTTTTCTTAATCCATGTTAGATGTGGTTAGGATTCTTTTTTCTTATAAAAAACAAACTTTATTTGCGAAAAAAGATACATCTGCAATGGATAAGAAGTCCATCAAAATTAACATAAGACCTTCAAAACTCAAACCAAAATTACAATCAATACAAAACTCCCCTCCAATCAAGAGTAATCGCACCAAAAGGAATATCATTAATTTTGAAATGACAAATCACAAAGAAAAAAATTTAACTCTACGTATTTGGTATGAGGTTTTGTGATTCTCACCTGCAGAGTCCAAATTCCCCTTGGACCTCGAAAGTCCGGTATACCACAAGAAGTTGAGATTCCTGCACCTGTAAACACTACTAGATGCTTACTCTGCAAGTGCAAGGAATTTTTTTAGAAAAATTGATTAAATAAGATCGAATATGAAATATACTTATTGTAATGGGATGTGTAGGTTCAAACCTTTTGTATCAACATAGCAAGCCGCTCAATCTGCCATTCCCAAAAAATAAATTCATGCACATGATGTCAGCATAAAGAGCATACATACACAAACTCATATGTCCGCAAAGAATAGAACACACAAATGAAAGATCACAAAAGTGCACAAATATGCAATGGAGTTTGCAATTAGTAAGCATATCACATTACATTTCAAAATGTTTAAGTAAACCTTCATAAGTTTACTTTGTAAATCTCTAGAATATCAATGAAATTGAATAATCAAAACATCACAATTTTGGGAGCTAAGGAATAATCCAAGACTCTTAGGCCCCGTCTGTTCGAGAGGGTTGACTTGGGTAATACTACTCACTATACTGAAAGCATTTTGAAGGAAGAAATGGATGATAACTTCCTTATTTTGTCCAAGTCGAAGGTTAATCATGAAGAAAAGTAGTCCAATTTAATGGTACCATTTTTGTGAGGATTAGTAGGGATATCTTTTGTTCCTGAATAGTCTTTAACTTGGACAAAATACGAAAGTTGTCATCCATTTATTTTTTCAAAATGCCCTTCAGTTTGTTGAGCAGTTCCAAGCCAATCCCCTTTAACAAAACGAGGCCTTAAATTCTTCAACAGCTATGTAAGTCCTGGATAACAACAAAAGAGAAGGAAAAGATTGTGTTTGCGTCCACTCAATCGGTATAATTCAACTACATTCGAACCAAATGTGTTAACCGTGAAGCTGATAATCTCTACCTCTTTAAGGGTATAAACATAGATGTTTGGGATTACCAAAACACAGGTAAGGAAGTAACCAACTCATTGATCAAAAAAGCAAGTAAAACTCAATCACAATGCAGATAAACGCCTAAACCCAAATATCAGATCTCAATCAGCATTAAGTTTTAGGAACAAATCCATGTTCCCCAGCAAAACAAAGCCATAATTTTACCAAATGCAATAAAAAAAACCTAACTATCATTCATCACAACTCCAGAAGATCAACAAAGACATCAACTTTAAGAACAAGTAGCAATTTAAAACAAAATTGGAAAGGGAAAAAACTCAAAAGATTCTCACTTTTTCTTGCAAAACTTGAGGCGTGTCGAAATGTTCAGTCATTCCGACTTGGCCCACATCTTCTATGTAGGAAAGCTTCTCTGCATAACCCAAGGACATGGTCACTATGATGCTTCGTGTACCACCTTCGCCTTGTACCCCTCTCTCTCTCTCTCTTCTCTCTGTGAAAGTTTTGATCAAAAGGTAGGGAGTGAGAAGCCCTTTCGGCTTTTTACTTCTTCTATTTCTTCCCTCTCTATTGCTCGGAGAGTTTGAGACCCAACCCAAAATTGGTACTTTGACTAGACTCCTGGGTTAAGCAATAAAATGAGGGGTGTGCTATCTAGACATCCCAAATTATTTCTCACACACCTTTTATTAATTTCTATCCATTGATCTTCTTCAATTCATCTGATCTGACGGCCGAAAATTAGAAAGGTGTATGAGAAGTAAAATAGGGTGTGTGGATATCACATTCCTAAAAGGAAATAATTTTGTCTCAGCAACTTTTGATGGTTAGGATTAACTAGCACTAATCTTTTCCTCTATAAATATGGGTTCATGTTAACTTCAACAAAAGCGATGATTAGTGTTTTCTAAATAAAAAAAAAAATATATATATATATATATATACTAATTATTATTACGATTTAGTGATATTCTTCTTTATTTGTAATTAAAATCTTTCATAGTCGAAACTTAAAGAGGTGTATTTAATTGGGATTTTGAGGGACACTTTTTTGACACACATTTTGACATAGTTTTTTAGGTATTTTGTAACCTCTCTTGGTGATTCGAACCGTCTATTTATCAATTTATTCATAAATCATCCTTACAAAAAATTAAACAAATTCAAAATCATTAAGACATTCATTTTTTTGTGAAGAAAAATGAACGACTACGATTACACAAACACTAAAATGACTACCATTTGATCCAAAAGTCGTATAAATGACTTAATGATTTTCAATTTGTGTAATTTTTTTCAAGCATAATCTATGAACAATGAATTGAAATATAGACGTTTCAAATTCTTGAATAAAGTTACGTCATGGGTCTTACAAAATGTGTGTCAAAAAAAATTTACCAAGTAGCCATTTGGGTGTTGTATGTGTTGTATGGGGTTCACCTTATTATTATGTTTCTTTTTAGAGAAACTAAAAGAAATCGGTCACTTCCTTAATCTTGGGACCAAAATAGGATTTTTGGTATATGTACAGAATATGCACAGGACATACACAACAATATGACAAAAATAGGATTTTTCAAAACCATGAAATGACCTAATTGCCCTCTTATTTTGTCCAACCTAGTCAGCATTTACTCCTTGTTTGAAAACCTCTCTCGGACGACCCCTATCTCTAGAACCCTAAATCCCCAAACGACCCAACCCAAATCCTGTCCAATTTCAGACTGACGCCATGCTTCCAAACTTTTCTATAATTTTCGCGGCCAAGGCGAGTTTGGTATCCATCGATTCAAACAATTGTAATGGCAAAATAAATAAAAAAATTAAAAAAAAAGGGCGCTTTGAATTGAATTTTCATTATTTGAACTTAGGTTTTCCCAATTTGGGAATTAAGGGTTTTGTGTGCAATTGACTGTTTTGTATAGTTAATTTAGGGGAAATTAACGAATTAGGCTTTAGGGTTGTGTAATTGCATGTAATTTGAAGTTAATTTTGTTCATGGTTTGTTTGATTTTCATTTGTGCCATATTGTGTACTTATTGTGTGCATGTGCTTTTGATAATGGGTTGTGCATACTTTCTACATATTTTGTGCATGGGCTTTTGATATTGGGCTGAGCAAATTCTGGGCAAGTTGAAGGGTTTATGTTTAATTTATAATATAAATAAGGGTGTGTGTACACTAATGTACTTGTACAAACTTATCCTTATCACAAATTGACACAATAACCAAAAGATGGCATTGGGTTTAGCAAAATTTGGACAACCCAACCGATGCACATTATATGCACGTCATGCACATATAATGCTCTTGATATGTACAATTTCTCTAGAATTTCCTAATTAATCATCTTAATACATGGCTTTTAAATTGGAGTAAGTAAATTTTTTGATATTTTGTTATGTTATTTTAAGCATAACTGAAAGCATACATTGAGTGTTTATGCGTGCATCTATGGAGTGAGTAGTGTCAAATGTGTGCTTTTTAATAGGTGAACTAATGCATGAGTACCCAGGTGGCAAAAATGCCAAAAGGACATGAGTGGGGAAAATGGCGGCAAAAAGTACATGAGTGGGACTGTGTTTTGGGTCTAGGGATTCACTTAAGCACTTGCCGCCAAAATGAATCCATAAGACTTAATGATAAGACAAGGTAGATATAGGGTTTAGTAACAAGAAAAGATGGATATAGGTTCTTAATAATTTGATTTGCACACTTGCTTACATGGGTAATGATGACAGCTTGGGTGTCGTCTATTACTACCATTCATTGATGGTTTTTTTGGAATTATGGCTAGTTTTTTAGGCTCCTTATTTGACAGAGCTAAAAGATTGTGTTTGTGTTTGTGTATCTTTGGGAAGAAAAAATGGAAAATAGAAAGGCCAATAATTAGGAAGAAAAAAGTACATGAGAAAAGTAAAGGAAAAGAAAAGGCTGTACTGGAATTTAAACGCTACTATTACAAGAAAATTAAATGAAAAGAAACAAAGTTAGTCTACCTATCTTTACCACATAACATATCACAAAACATATTTAATTCCTGATGCCATCTGTTAGGAAAAACTACTAAATTTTTCATGGCCAAATAAATCTCAATGCGATCGGAGTGTGAAAGGACCTTGTGGACTTCCATAGTCGCTGAATGCTTTCATGGAAGCATTGTCATCATGAACTTTTAGGATTCCAACTCTTACTTTCCTATCCACCCAAAGAGTCGAAAAACACCACTGAACTATCTCTTTACATTTCATTACACTCAAACGTCTTGATTTGTGAAGGTTGAGAGAATGCAGAAGCTTGAGGTCTTCATACTTTGAATCCCCCATAGCACACCAAAATCATACTACTTTATGACCCTTTGAGATCACCATCTACAAAGACTCAATTTTGGCTTCTACTTATTGTCTTGGAAGAAGTATCTCATTTGTAGCATATACAAGGGCTTGGAATTGTCGCAGTCCCTCCAACATTTCAGGAACTTGGAGACATTTTCATACCTGGTCCATGAACTAAGCAGGTTGAAGCTTTCAAATTCCCTAGTGTTGATGTGTTCGAATATGCGATAGTCTTGGGTGATTTGGTTGTACTTCTGCACATCATCTTTGTTAAAAACAAGTCCTTTAAAGACCGAGAAACAACTTTAGTAAGCATGGACAAGAAGATCATCTGGAAAAGATTGTATGGATGATGAGGTGGTTTTGAAATAAAACACAAACCCTTAACAAGACAACTTAAATAGATGGTTTATATTTTCCACAAGAAGGGGAAGAGATTGTATGGACCTGATCAGGCGTTAACATTTCCTTCAAACAAAGTGGATAGTAAATGTAAATTCATGGATAATAACAAATACACTTAAAGATGGGTGTGGGCTTATTGATTACAAATCCATGTAAAATACATGAACTATAACGTCACTAATTCTAGAATAATGACCAATTGTTAGTTATATGGTATTGTTTACAAATCTACAAATGCATGAATTATAAGGTCACCACAACAACAACAACAACAACAAAGCCTTTTCCCACTAAGTGGGGTCGGCTATGTGAATCCTAGAACGCCATTGCGCTCGGTTTTGTGTCATGTCCTCCGTTAGATCCAAGTACTCTAAGTCTTTTCTTAGGGTCTCTTCCAAAGTTTTCCTAGGTCTTCCTCTACCCCTTCGGCCTTGAACCTCTGTTCCGTAGTCACATCTTCAAACTGGAGCGTTAGTAGGCCTTCTTTGCACATGTCCAACCCACTCATTCCTAATCTTATCCTTTCTCGTGAGCCCACACCTCCAATGAAGCATCCTCATCTCCGCTACACCCATTTTGTGTACTTGTTGATGCTTCACTGCCCAACATTCTGTGCCATACATCATCACCGACCTTATTGTCGTCCTATAAAATTTTCCCTTGAGCTTCAGTGGCATACGACGGGCACACAACACGCCGGATGCACTCTTCCACTTCATCCATCCCGCTTGTATTTCATATATTCTGTCTTTGATCGGCTTAGGCGAAGACCTTTAGATTCCAACACTTCTCTCTAAAGGTTAAGCTTCGCATTTACCCCTTCTTAATTTTCATCTATCAACCCTATATCGTCTGCGAAAAGCATACACCAAGGAATAACATCTTGAATATGTCCTATTAACTCATCCATTACCAATGCAAAAAGGTAAGGACTTAAGGATTGTTGATGCACAAAATCAGTGAGGACTTTGGTACAACATAAAGTATTAAGTTTGTGACCTTCGTAAGATTGCTCCAGTCATTAGTGTGGATAAGTATGTAAAATGATAGAGATAGGAGAGCAAATACAAGATGTACGTGGTTCACCCAGATTGATTACGTCCACGGAGTAGAGGAGTTCTCATTAATTGTGAATGGTTTACACAAGTACATAGGTTCAAGCTCTCCTTTAGTGGGTACAAGTGAATGATTTAGTACAAATGGCATTAGAAAATATTTTGGGAGAATGATCTCCTTTTATAGAAGAGAGTTTCTAGCCTTGTTCTGACATTGACATATGTCGTGTTGTGATTGGCTTCCGATGTTGACATGTGTCACGCTATGATTGGCATCTGATGTTGACACATGTCACTCTGTGATTGGCCTCCTGGCTGGAGGGGAAGCTCTTCAGTTTGGGACTTGCAAGATCCAAGCCGCTGAGTAATCACGAAACTTCTAAGTATCGAAGTGTGGTATCGTTTTCACTTGCCTTATCTGTCTCATAGGTAGATGTGGCATCTTCTCTGGAAGTACTCTTCCTCCATCCAGGGGTAGTATCTTTAACTGGTGGAGATGCACAAGTTAATGTATCAATTTCACTTGAAGCTTACTTGTAGTTTCAGGGCTTGGTCAAGTGCGATACAAACCATGTAGTAGGAGTCCCCCAAGTCGCCGAGCTAGGGGATCTGCTGAAAGAGGTGACAGACAAGGTAAGCAATCAGAGCTTCCAAGCAATCAGTCCCAGGATCAGAAGTTTGATTTCGAGCTTCCGGCTTGATTGTTCTCATTCTCCTTATCTTGCATTCAGCATGAAGGATAAAGAGAAGAAAATGGAGAAGAGATGATATGAGATACTTTTGCTTTTGAAGAAGTAAC